ACATTAACTAGAAAAGGTGATGTCTTCTTACAAGGTAAAACTAAATATGAGTTTTTAGAATCCAAGAATAAAAATTGGAATGCTAAAAAACAGAAAATTACTAATGTGGAAAAGGGTGAAAGTTTAGATGATGTGCCCACTTTACAACAGACTTTAATACGAACAGCTGGTAAATTTGTACAAGACAATAATAATTATGAATTTTTAGAATCAGAGAATGGTATTTGGAATGCTAAGAAACGGAAAATTACTAATGTGGAAAAGGGTGAAAGTTTAGATGATGTGCCCACTTTACAACAGACTTTAATACGAAAAGAAGATGGTAAATTTGTACAAGACAATAATAATTATGAATTTTTAGAATCAGAGAATGGTGTTTGGAATGCGAAGAAACAGAAAATTAGTAATTTGATGGAAGGTACAGATAGTAAAGATGCTGTGAATGTTTCACAAGTTCCAAAAATGGAAGCAGGCTATTGGAGTTTTAATAGTAAAAGGTTAGTACGTGTTAAACCTGCCATTGATGACACTGACTGTGTTATAAAAGAACAGACTATAACTTTTGATAAAAAAGAAAAATGTTGGGATGCCAAAAAACAATTCATAAGAAATCTACCAGAGGGGGAACATTTGGATGATATTTGTCTAATGTCACAATCTATGCATTATGATGGATCAAAATTTGTATATGGAGAAAAAAAATTTAATTTGATGGAATATAATCCTGATTTATTAGTTGCTGACCCCACATCTTTGAGTGGATTTAAGTATATAGATAATAGACCATATATACCAGAAAACTATGTATTTAAAAGAATGGAAGATAATCTATTGATTGGGGCTAATGGTGATGTATTTAGAGTTACAGGAAAGGATGATGTTATAAAAAATGAATGAAATTGCATACGAACTTCATAAACCTGCAAGAAAGAATTTCATTAGAAGGTCTTTCAAAGTATTAAGTATAAATGAAACCGTACAAATAGATTTAATTGATATGCAAAACTATGCTAGAGAAAATTCTGGCAATAAATATATTTTAACTTTAATAGATACATTTTCTAAAAAAGCTTATGCTGCTCCACTAAAGAATAAGACAGGGTTAGTGGTTACAGAAGCCATTAAAACCATTCTACCAAAGGGGGTTAAAAACATTCAATCTGACAATGGAAAAGAATTTTTTAATCAATATTTTAGCAAACTAATGAAAAAATTAAATATTAATCACTATCACACATTTTCTACAACTAAGGCTGCAATTGTGGAGAGGTTTCAGAGAACTTTAAAGAATTGGTTATATAGGGAATTTAGTGCTCAGGGGAGTTATAAATGGTTGGATTTACTTCCAAAGTTAATTCGAAAATATAATAATAAAGTGCATAGATCTATAGGAATGAAGCCTAACCAAGTAAATGTTAAGAATAGTAAATATGTACATGAGAGGTTGACTTCTAAAGTAGAGCAAGTTAAAAAGCCAAGATATAAGGTAGGTGATAGCGTAAGGATTTCCAAGTATAAACATGTTTTTAGTAAAGGTTATACTCCAAATTGGACAGGGGAACTATTTACAATAGCAGAAGTTAAGAATACAAAGCCTGTGACTTATATCTTGAAAGATGAAAATGGCAATATAATCAGGGGAGGCTTCTATACAGAGGAGTTGTTAAAGACCAAATATAAGGACATGTATTTGGTAGAGAAGATAATTAGGAAAAAAGGTGATTCGTTGTATGTCAAATGGCTTGGGTTCCCAAGTAGCCAGAACTCATGGATTTCCACTAAGGATGTCCAAGGGAGCACGTCATAAGCCGGGAGCATGCCCGAGTTCACGCACAAACCTCACATGATTTTGAAAATATACATGGGAATGGATGTGGATTTGAAATTTTAATAGAGTTTGAACATTTATATAGGCTTGTATTGGACGAGATCCAGGTCTTTAAAAAAGTGGCCAAAAAATGAGCCATATTCCAGACGTGATTTTTAGTATTAACAAAAGTAGAAAATTTATATAGGGGTGTATAGGTCGAGAGCTGGGTCTTTAAAAAAAGTGGCCAAAAAAAGCTCTTCCATTTTTTTCTCATTTTTCCCCTATAAAAAGTGCCCTAAAAGTGCCTCTAAAACGCCGAAAGTGAGGTATCTTTGTGGGTTCACCACTACTGTTATATTAATATTTATTAAAACCACTAGTGTATACCAATATCCAAATTTTGGAGGGTAAGATTCCGATCTGTACAATCAGAATAGGTCGAGAAAAGAGACGCCATCGTGACGTCACTGCCCAGAGGGGTCCATTGGGGTCCAATTACGCAACCCCAAGTAGCCAAGTTGTCAAGGAGCAGTCAGAAATAATGCAGTCAGTGGTTTGTTCTAACAAATTCCTCCTTTTTTATTTTTTTATTCCTTTAAGTATTCAAGTTGTCAATAGGTATGACATAGGCCAAGTATCCCAATAGCCAATAAACTAATCAGGACACTAGCCATTCATCCAAATACCCAATGATTTTGGTTGTTAGTTATCCATCTAAGTAGAAAATAGCGAAGTAGAAAATAACCAAGTAACCAATGTTTTAGGAGGCAAAATAATAATGGGAATTGATTTAGTCAATTACATAACTAGAAAATAAGCCAAGTACCCGTATAGTCAATAATCTAGGTGGCAAATCGGCCAAGTATTTATGTAGTAATAGTAAAAATATATACGACAAACTAGCAATGAAGTCAAGTAGCCAAGTTGTCAAGAGAAATCGGAAATAAAGCTTAGTTTTTCTCTCTCATACAATACTCTGTAGGCTTCCTTTTTCATTCTTATAGATTCAAAAAACAAATCAGTTTCCTATTTTGCAAGACGTGTAATAATATCTCGAATACCTGGTCCAAGTTCACTTACATACATACTTACACGTCTATATTTACAGATATCACGATTATTCAAAGCCATTTAGATAGATAGTTAAAGTATTTTTAAAGTTATATTACAGTTGGTTTAAATTCATAATTTCATAATATCAGTATGAAATTATGACTCATGAAACAAGTACTTACTTCATAATTAAAGTAGTCATTTAAAAAACGTCAATTGTTTTTATTTTTAAACTTGCGAGTCACTAATGTGTTTTGACAATGAATGTCCAAATATATAATTAGACAGTTCTACAATATTCATAATAAAGAGTTTCTATATTGTGATTTCAGCTGGGTCTACAATAGAAATTGGCTATTTATTCAAACACATATGTTCTGTTTTATTATTCACTCTGATGTTTTATTGATTCACACTTGAATAAAAGTATTAAACAATATGGGACAAATCTCGATTTTTCTAATTTAGGATTGTTGGAATGCATATTTAAATACGATTAAAGAAAACAGTTGCATTTAGACAAACTAAAAATATGTGTTAAAATATTACAATGTCATATGAACGATCCGGAATAAAATTGTGTGCACTTGAGAACTTTTAATAAAAGGAAGACCCGGGCAAATAATGTATCACGGGTCTTCCTTGCCGGACAAACCATTAACTTATTTTCCGGACATTGAATAATTGCAATGAGTACTTGCAGTCAAAATCAATTATAGTTATAAATATATTCTGCATACATTCTGCATATTGCAGTTAATCGGATTCAGATTGTAAGATAGATTGTTTCAGATTGCTTAACATTGTTTTTTTTTTAGGAATTAACTTAAATCGATTCCATCATTGTTTATTTAGTTTTCTTCAAGGACAAAGTTACTTAAATAAGACATTCCATGCCTCTCTATGTCCATGAATATCATCCAATTGAACATCATGTAATGATTTTTCATATTGAAATTGCAAGTGTCTTTACCCATAACTTATAAAATAACGTTTGATTGATACCAGCACGCTCTGAATTCATCTACAAGTGAAACTTATGATGAACTGGTTGTACTAAGATCACAATGAGACTGAATTTGCCGAAGAACGGTTATAAGGGTTAGCTCAGACCCGAGAAGAGAAATCTATTTTAATGAAACTACGCACAGACAATAAAGTCTATCAACAATAACTAATTGGCATGTTGGCTGGTCCGTGAAGAGTTTCTTTTAAGAAACATGCGGGAGAATAACATGCAGAACTCTGTGCTCTGCTTTCATTCTGTTTTCTGTTGCCGTTTATTTTTGGGAACGTTATGTTTTGTGCATCTTCATGAGAGACAACCTTTGGGTTTTCTGTTCACCTCTATACAAGAGAACAATTTTGACTTGTGTAATTTTATTTTACACTTAACTTGTTCATGTCTAGTTGTGCTAATGACTTATGCATATAATCATATACTACAATATATCTAACATAACTTAATCTGCAGTAGAGGTTATTATGCATTCTGTGTCTAATTATTTGGCTTTAGAAAATGCTACAACTTGACGGGTGAAATATTATTCAATTTTGAGTGTTAATAGAAATAGTATCATGATAAGCATTTAAGTAAATGATAAAGTTAAAAATGATATAACGCCAATTTCACTGATGTTATGGACAACTAACACTACCTTCCGCAAACGCAAATGTATATATTATTAAAATATCCTTTACCGACATGTATACAGATCGTATTAAATGGACACGTGTCCATTCCTACATGTAAAGGTAAGGAAATTTGTGAAAAAGTTATCATAGACAATGTGTTTTATTTAGTTTAACGATAACAACCATAGCATTTGGTAAGCAGACAGAGGTTTCATACTTTTTCTGATCATCGTAATTTAAAAATATCCAAAATCAAATTGTAGGGGTATACCACTATGTATAATTTCATTGTCATTTTAATGAGTGTCGTGCTCAACCTCTTTTAGTTGCAAATTATACAACTGAAAAAAATAATATAAATACGAGATGGTATGTAAGGACAAGTCCTACTTTAAAACTAGTTCAATCATAACTATGGTGTTTATGATAATATACAGGTTATAATTACTTGAAGTTAAAATTGTTTAGCAAAGTAATATATTAGAAAAATGTTATGTCTTACCTTAAAAACTAAGGTGTCAAGTCAGTAGGAATCCGTATCAATACAAATTGTGGCCTCTGAAAATAAAAAGAACATGGTAAATATAGATTTCCAACTCACAATCGTTAATACAAACACAAATGATATACTTTTAAAAGTAGGTTTTTTCTAATATCTTGAATACATTTATACTATCTTATGTTTATGTGTTTCCTAATTTGTTTCATCAGAAAGTCGAATTAATAGCAAAAATATGTAGTTTTATGTTTTAAACTTGTCTAATTTCAATAAGTGGTTGGGAAGTGATACATACTTCTAAAACCTTGCAACTATTTACGCTAACCAACACAAAACAACACCCACATAACTAATGGACAGATAACAATAATGCATTGCACGACTTTTTTGTCAAGCTGACGAATACACTCCAAGTTTTTTGGGTTACGAAACATAGGTTTCGATTTAACTAAATAACAATTTTTTTAACTAGTCATTACTTTTTAATAAATTGCATAATCAAAATAATTATTTTAATAGGAGTTGTCGTGGCTAAAGACTTAAATATCATTACTTTATGTACCATATGGATACACGTAACATTTTTAGTGAGCGTTTTCGGTGAGCGCCATAAGATTCGGTTAAGATTTTCAGAACTATAAAAATCTGATATTAGTATTTTATTGCAATATACAGGGTGGTAAAAAAGTCCCTGGACAGTTAAATATTAAAAGAAATAATGCAGATAGAGCTACAATACTTGGTACAAAGTTACAGGGCATAAAATTATATTTTAACACATATTCAGTGATCCAATAACTCTTCAGGGGGACGGCCCACAAGGAGTCGGAAGAAAATCTTAAATGGAATCATAGGTCAATATGCACATCAAATTAAAGGTCTTCTTTAGTAGAATACAATGCCGCAAACCGCACTTCAAAAGGTTGATCCTGCGCAAAATGGCAGATGTTCAAAGATTTCTTGAATCCGCCATTTCGAATCTTTGAACGACTGCCATTTTTTACTCAGGCATTCTTTTGAGCTTGAATTTACGGCATCGTAATCTACTAGTGAAGACCTTTAATTTGATGTGCATATCGACCTATGCTTACGTTAACAATTTTCTTCCGATTCCTAGGGCTGTGCCCCCTGAGGATAAAGCGTATAATAGCTATGTAAATTAAATGAATCTTTGAACAACTGTCATTTTGTGCAGGGTCAACCTTTTGAAGTGCGGTTTGTGGCATTGTATTCTACTAAAAAAGACCTTTAATTTGATGTGCATATTGACCTATGCTTCCGTTTAAGATTTTCTTCCGACTCCTTGTGGGCCGTCCCCCTGAAGAGTTATTGGATCACTGAATATGTGTTAAAATAAAGTTTTATGCCCTGTAACTTTGTACCAAGTATTGTAGCTCTATCTGCATTATTTTTTTAAATATTTAACTGTCCAGGGACTTTTTTACCACCCTGTATGTATTGCAGATACAAAAGCTTTCTCTCCTGAGAATATTCTATATTAGTTGCAGACCTGCTGGACATTACTGGAGGTGTTATTGCAGCCCTTTTTGTATTTGGGGGTGAAAGTGGCCAAAGTTACGTGACATATTTGCTCAGGCGGTGCATAATATGTCATCAAACCTAACAAACAACTGTCATCACTTCTTACTTTCCAAACAAAAATCGTTTGTCAAATCTCAAACCAATCTTGTGGCTTTTTAAGATCAGTTAGTATTTCCAATCAGGTAATTGTAACCACCTTTTATTATAATAGCTGTTAATTTATTTTTTATTTCCCATACTCCATACGAACTATATCTGTTTTTAAAATATATCTAAACAATCAACGGAAGAGTTTTGCCTTAATTTTTGAATTAGGGACTTGTCTGACTAAAAACTTGATTAGCAAAAGCTACTACCTCAGGAAAACTCATATACAATTGTATATACCATTGGTATACAGGTACTCATTAGAAAATTAAAAATTTGAACACTGGCCTTCCATTTTGGTTTTACAAAAGGATATGGAAAACGTAAAAAACTAATTGTAGCGCATGTTTATAACAAATCATCCACATAGTTTGCTATCAAATTACAAAATAATGTACAAAGGGGAAACACTTAATTATAATTTCTTGGCAAATATTACCAAGAAGATTACGCGTCATTGGGAAAAACATTTATGTTTAAATACGGATTATTTTACTCGGCCTTCCCCACAAAAAAACGTAATTTCAAAGTACTAGACACATTTTTAGGAACCTTCAGGTAACAGTTAAATAAATAATATTCAAATTCAAAGATTTAAATTCAAATATATTTTATTGAAGAAATTACAACAGCTTGGCCTCGCCAAGTAAAAAAAAAAAACAACCTTTCGGCGAGTTCTAATTGATGCATAAAGAGACCAAACGAAATTTTTTAATTTATTCTCAATAATGAATTAATATTTTTCTTATACTAAATTAGAATCTAAACAAACATTAAACAGCTGTTTAAATCAACTTACTGTTAAACAATGTGCATGTGAATATAGCTATTAACACGTGGTTTTGCCATTGACTGTAACTCAAGTCGAAGTAGGCATCTTATTTATACTGTTCGTGTTTCGTAACTGACGTTTGAGTGCACTGACTGAGATTCTCTTTTTAAGGTTGGATTTTACTATTTCTTATGTACTCTTTTTCATAATACCAAGGGATAAGTATTATTGTTTATATAAAGACTGCTGTATTCAGTTGAATTAGTTTAAAGTTCGTTAGATAACAAGAATCGAATAGTAAACAAAATACGCTTTTTACTTAAACCGGACAGATCTAACCTTAACTTGTCTTCAACCGATCCGTAATGATGATGTTTTTATACAGGAATACTCCTGAAAGAATTCCCTTAATTTATACATATTTGCCTCCAGGATTGATTAATTGACATAAAATGAGGTTACTAACCTGATCGTTGTTTTAGTCATCACGACAAAATATAGGATTGATTGACAACAGGTTAGTAACCCCATTTTATGTAAATTTCCTTAAACACTTGCACTTATCTTTAATGTTATAACTGTTAGTTATGACATTAAAAAGGTCTTTTAGGAAGTAAGAAATATAAATTTTACTTTAAGAAAGATTTAATTTAGTACAAAGAAAACTAATTACGCTGCTTTACATAAATATTCTTATTTTAACGGGATTATCTCCAATAAATTAGCATTGCAATTTTTCATAAAAAGGTTTTAACCTATTGATGGTGGTTTTGCTAAATTACCACTATGGTTTGAAAATTTGTATGGCTATAAAACATATTCAAAGTCAATTGATTGTGTAAGGGAATTTCAATTGGAATAAAACTATTATGCCAAATAGTCCAGTCAATGAATGATCCAAAAGTAGGTGTAGAGTGCGTGAGCAGGTAACTAAGCGATTCCTTCATAAACTTGTTCAGGGGGCTTAGGGTGTTAACATACCAAAAGTCCTGACTCCTAGGTGGTGAGCCAGGGGGTGGAGGGGGGGAAAAGGGGGGGAAAAAGGTACGCATTTTGGGTTTTTTGATTATATCTCGAAAACTATCAACTTTTTGTATACTATAGTAAATTATAAAATTGAAGAAGATTAAATTTTCTACAAGAAAAGTATATAATGTGTTAATTTTGGTTCAACAGATTACGAGTTATAACTTATTTAATTGATATCTTATTAAAATACGCCTTCCATAAGAAATACATGTAAATTAGTATGCGAAATGGGGCGAATCCTATCCGCCCAAAGGAAATATAACTGATATTCTGGAAATCTTGACAAAATTTCCAGTAAATTGACACTTTAATCATGAAATTTTGTCAAAAATTAAAGCGAGGGTGAGCGTTTAAAAATGGGATGGTTTAAGTTTTTTTTTTATATTTCCAATAAAAAAACACCAAAACTCGACATTTTGTTACCTCGCCCTCGCCTTAATTTTGGATCAATTTTAATGATTAAAGTGTCAAATTACTGGAAATTTTGTCAAGATTTCCAGAATATCATTTATATTTCCTTTGGGCGGATAGGATTCGCCCCATTTCGCATACTAATTTACATGTATTTCTTATGGAAGGCGTATTTTTATAAGATATCAATTAAATAAGTTATAACTCGTAATCTGTTGAACCAAAATAAACACATTATATACTTTTCTTGTAGAAAATTTAATCTTCTTCAATTTTATAATTTACTATAGTCTACAAAAAGTTGATAGTTTTCGAGATATAATCAAAAAACCCAAAATGCGTACCTTTCTCCCCCCCTTTTCCCCCCCTCCACTCCCTGGCTCACCACCTAGGAGTCAGGACTTTTGGTATGTTAACACCCTAAGCCCCCTGAACAAGTTTCTGAAGGAATCGCTTAGTTACCTGCTCACGCACTCTACACCTCATTCCTTGACTGGACTAAAACCCCAGCGAGAGAGCAATAGCTTCATTACATTAAAAGTAACAGCTGAAGACCGAAAAATGGTTGTCACCAAACATACCGATGTGATATAAGGACTTGGGTTACACGATGAAAATTTAATTGTACCGTTTCGAAACAAATGAAATGAAATAAAACAATGCTTTATTTACACGTTTTTTACAAGTTTTACAACATTTCCATATTATAGAAAGGTCCATGTCTCACACAACAGACTCGCAATTTTCCAACTTGGTCTTGTCAGACCGTCAGCTGGGTTGGCAACACACTATAATTGCTAGATAAAAAATGCATTATGTATACATTAAAATTACCTTTCTGCTCCATTAACAACTATTATTTCAGCTTATACAACCGTTTCGAAAATAATATGAATGTGTTTATTTTATAACTACGGTTTCCAAAGACTAGTGGTGAGAAATGTGTACAAACAGCACTTTAACTGTTCAAGTGCGTTTATCTCGATTTCACCCTATCGAATATTTTTACATTGCAGTGTTTTATTTCGGTGATTAAATGTCCAAGGTTTGTAATAAAAACAATTTTTGTAATTTATGAAATGTGTACGTTATGTATTATTTTACTAACAGAATTAATCGCCATCGAGCAAGGCTCGGTCCCCCGGTACTTTTTACTGA